CATATCATTGTGGAAAAATTCTTCTTTTACCTTAAACGAAATTGGGTGAATACTTCTCATATTGTTAAGATGTTATTTGCCTTATGTTGTTAATACATGCAAGCCCATTAGACAAAGACTTGAGTAACCCAAAAATGTAAAGGGAGCTTGCTCCAACGGTTTGAAGTGGCCTAACACGCAAGCTAGAGAGTGGACATGAATCGTCTCAAACTTTTGCTGAGAATGGTCCGTCTGCTGCTAAAAGGAAGATAAAAGAGCCTATTGAAATTGCCAGATTAAGGAACACGATTGAGGAACGGTGGGTAAGTACTACTCATGCATGATTGATACATTGGAAGAGAGAGGTGATGTTAAGCCGTCATCCAAATTCAGGCGACTCAACTTGTCCGCTCGTCCAACATGTTAGATTAAACTCATCAACTAAACCAGACGTACGAGATTACACAGCCCAAATCATGTCCTTCCTTGGATAGTTAAACTTAAATGACCCTAGACTGAGAGGTGAAGACTAGTCGTTTCGTGACTTGACTCGCATGCTTACATTTCATTATCTCAACCATACTTTCTTAATGACTTACGCAGTCTGGATCAGGGCTTTTACTTGGCTCATTAAGCCCTGATGGCCAGAGTCTGACATCAGCCTTTTTTTATCACTCTGATTTCGGACAGGTATTGCGTATAGACGTTAACATATACACACACACAAACACACACACACACACACACACACTAGTAAAAGTATCAGTACCAATACATAAAATAATTATCCAAATCATTTTATATCTTTATGTTCTTTAATTTCCTTTTCTTAATTGAGTCTATAGTAGATAGAGCCGGATTGTGTTCTTGACTTTGAGTAAATGTTAGATTTTTACAAAAATGAGTATCAGCTGTGATTTTGTCCATCGTGTGGTGGGCGTAACCTCAGCCCGTTTTCACCCGAATCGTATTCTAACCGAATGGCTGTAGTACAACGCGAATCGGCCTGCGTGTTCGGTTGAGTTTGATGTACGAATATCTTCATCATGTATTTCCATACAAAATCAAAGTCTTCACATCAATCATATCTCAAGATATGCTCCTAAACCCTCATTTACTTCGTATGTATAACTTAGAGTGTTGTTTTCTCTCAAAATTGTCAATTTACTCATGATTATTGCATACGCACAAAGCGCACGCATCCACAGGACTAAAACAATCACCAGTTGCAGGGTCGTACACTGGTTTATTTCTATAATGTAAAGCTGTGGCCACATACTTTCATGCATCAACTTCGCTCGTCTTCATGCATGAAGGACAGGTAGGCGATAGCAAAAAAATCATGGTATTTTTCGTTGATATGTAGGTTCTCAAGACTAACAGTAAATTAATTATATGATATGCATTAACCCTATTTCGTTTAAGTTGATGAAGGACGGGTAGTTGAATTATGCCAGAATGATATGAGTAGAGCAGATGCTTTCCATTGCATTTCACACAGCCTTGCTTTCCCAAAAGTTGTTCTCATCAAGAGTGGACTGTATTTTCCACCTCGTCTAGGTCTTGTCAATAGAAAAATTGCATATAGCCCTTACTATTTGTCTCGAAAACTTACTCAAAACGAAAAAAAAGTATTATAGTAGGGTTTCGAGATTATAGTAAGGGTTTCGAGACTACCAGTAAATCAGTGTAATGAGATGTATTCACCCTATTTCGTCTAAGGTGATGAAGGAATCGAGACTACCAGTAAATCAGTGTAATGAGATGTATTCACCCTATTTCGTGTAAGGTGATGAAGGACTGGAAGTGACTACCAGTAAATCAGTGTAATGAGATGTATTCACCCTATTTCGTGTAAGGTGATGAAGGACTGGTAGTCGGTGTAATGAGATGTATTCACCCTATTTCGTGTAAGGTGATGAAGGACTGGTAGTACTACCAGTAAATCAGTGTAATGAGATGTATTCACCCTATTTCGTGTAAGGTGATGAAGGACTGGTAGTAGGTAAATCAGTGTAATGAGATGTATTCACCCTATTTCGTGTAAGGTGATGAAGGACTGGTAGTAGAATTTTATCAGTGTAATGAGATGTATTCACCCTATTTCGTGTAAGGTGATGAAGGACTGGTAGTAGAATTTTCCCACAAGCGGTATGAGTTGAGCTGACGTTCCCATTGAATTTCACATAGCCTTGCTTTCCCAAAAGTTGTTCTCATCCAGGTTGGAGTGGGCTACAGTTTCGACCTCGCATCGGTCTTATCAACACCCTGGATAAAAACAACTTATGGAAAAGCAAGGCTATGTGAAATTCAATGGAAACGTCAGCTAAACTTATATCATTGTACTACCAGTCCTTCATCAACTTAGACGAAATAGGGTGAATACATCTCATATTACTGATTTACTGGCAGTCTCGAAACCCTAACTACCTACGAAAAAAAGTAATGTCGCCTATTGCTATGGCAAATAAAAGTTTGCTTCATCGACAATCCCACCACACAATGTGGTATGTATGGGAATCTTCACATATGCCCTGTAACCCAAGCGCACTCGCGGCACTATGGCGTATTGGTTAACGTGTCGGTGGTGCTGATGAGACATATTCAGGCGAGGTCTAGTCTGAAATCAACTTCAG